ATTGACATGTAACTGCTTAAGTTATTAAACTCCCCCTGCAGTCTCTCCCCCCAGAAATTTAGGAAATATTAGTGGTTAAATAACATCCTAATGCAAACAAAGCAAAGGAATAACCGAAAGATACATGGGACCAGATGCTCATGTTATGTACATCAGGGATTCTTCATTGAAGTGGAACTACCCTGATTTACACCATCTGAGAATCTGGCCTATTAGGCAGAGAATTGCCCAGAAGTCTTTATTTTTAAGTGTAGCTCCCCATCTGTGTCCCAAAACATTTTAGATCAATACACAAGAGCAAGTTGGTTTACTATCCTATAGTCTGTTCAGTGGATTACCAAAATATACATTTGGTTATTCATCTCTAAGCTTTGATGAGCCACAATTCCCAATAACTGGAAAAAATGTAAATACTAATGTTAAGAGTTACTCCCATTCTTTCTGACTTTCAACTTCTCCTGTCTTCATTTTAGTGTTTGTTCTTCCCACCTTGTAAGCATCTACTATTTTTTATTTTCCTTATCCTTTTCCAGGAGCCTCTGCAAGGTCAGCAGCCAGTTTCCCTCTGCAGTCCTTCCACGTATAAAGCAACTTCTGGGATTGATGCAGACAAAATCTGACCGATTAGTCAACTTTACTTTGCATAATGCTGCTATGGGAAATTGACTGGGATTGAATTATCCCCTAGTCAGTTTTACTCACAGCCAGTATTGCTTTGCTCAAGCACTACTTTGTTGGCCAATTGTTCACAGGCCAAGGTGCATCTGAATGAGTGGGACAAGTGGTGGGAAAGAATGGAGAAGCATTTACGTTTGTGATTGGCCACAAATGATTTTAAGATGCCTCAAATTCTTCTACGGATAGTCAGAGGAGATCACCGTTTCAGCAACACTTTTGCACTTGATTTTTACATCATGACACACATTACAGCGGATAATGACTTCTATTGACATCAACGTATATTTATTTTGGGCAATTACTTTTAAATAGGTACAGTAAATAGGTTGTGACTTACCAACTATTGCATGTACACATAGCAAATTTGTTTAAAGTAACAAAGAACTTAAGAGCTTTTGCCTTTAAAAAAGCCCTGTGTTGGTGTGTTTGAGGGGTTTTTTTTAAGACCAGTTTAAGGGTTGCAGGCTTCCTAGAACAACCTTTGCTAACATTCTGACATCACCAGCCAAGCAGACAATTTCATACATGAGCTCTAGGAATTCTGAGACGCTGCCACCCTCCCAAGCTTCCTGTTTTGGGTGCAGGCTTTTATTTTTCAAATTATTATAACATTTTAGTGCAAAGGGTAAATAATTATAGTGATTGATCTTTTCTATACTAGGGAGGGTATCATCAGTTGGCTATTTCCACACAAAAAATCAAGATGTTTATCATAGTTGTTAGACTTCAAACAAAAGTGTATTTTTTGTATGTTTTCAAAGGTGGTTAATTCTCTAGTGTCTGATCAAGCTGATCATCCTATTAATTCTACTATTATTTTTGGTCTCTATACTACCACCAGTAATCATGATCTAACAAAGATGTATTATTGATGTAGCTAATACTACTCACACAAAAACTATATTAAAATAAGGTTGCAAAGTCAAGCACTCAAAAGTTAGGAAATGCCAGAATTAATTCAGCTCCTTTGTGCATATGCATTTTGATATAGTCTTTAATTACCAGTCCAAATTCCCCGTCCCCTCCAACCAACTTCTGGATCCTCATTTAAGCTTAGTCTAAATTGCCCTCTCTCACACCAGCTCCTTGTTCCAATTTCCTTACCTAGTCTGGTTCAGTCTACTCCCTGGCTGTTTGCCCAGAAAGTTCCCATCCATCCCACCGCACCCACCCCTTACCCTACCTCAGTGGCCACCCTTCCCCAAACAGTCTGCTTGCCCAAACAGTGCCAGCCTCCCACTCACCACACCCCCAGGCTCCTTAACCCGACCTATACCTTCTCCCTAGGGTTGCCAACTGTCTAATCACACAAACCCAAACACCTTTGCCCCATCCCCTGCCCCTTCCCCAAGGCCACACCCATCCCACCCCTTCTCCAAGGCCTCACTCCAGTCCCCCTCTCTCCGTAGCGCTCTCTCCCCCCCACTCTCACTCACGTTCACCAGGATGATGTAGGAGGTTGGGGTGCGGGCTATGGGCTGGAACGAAGGGCCAGGGGGTTTGGCGTGTGGGAGTGGGCTCTGGGCTGAGCCTGGGGCAGGCGTTTGGGGTGTGGAAGGGGGTGAGGGCTCCGGGCAGGCGGCGCTTACCTCGGGTGGCTCCTGGAAGCAGTAGCATGTCCGGCAGCGGCTCCAAGGCTCAGAGGCGGCCAAGTGGCTCTGCATACTGTCTCTGCCTGAAGGAACCGCCCCGCAGCTCCTAATGGCCGTGGCTCCCCGTTCCCGGCCAATGGGAGCTGCAGAGTCAGCGCTCGGGGTGGGGTCAGCACGCTGAGACCCCCTGGCCACACCTTTGCCTAGGAACCACAACATGCCAGCCACTTCCAGGAGTGGCGCGGAGCCAGGGCAGGTAGGGAGCCTGCCTTAGCCCCACTGCACTGCGGGACTTTTAGCAGTCTAAAATCTCCCGGATTGGCTTCAGTACCCTCCGGGAGATCGAGCCCGATTCCAGGAGACTCCTGGCCAAACCGGGAGGGGGTTGGCAACCCTATTTCTCTCTGCCCACTCAGGTCTGGTTCTTCAAACCCACCACATCTGAGTCAGGCTGCTCTTCCTCCAAATTCTTAGACACAGGCAGGGGCAGTATTGACAGCACAGAAGTTACAGTCTCCCTGCTCTTAGTCCCTGGTGCTGCAATAGCCAGCAGCAGCAATTGCAAGTGAAGTCCTACTCAGCCCCTAGGGTCCTGACTGCAGCACGCGTATTCCAAACAATCTTCAGTTTCAGTATTTAGTTCCCAAACTCATAAGTCTCTACTGAGCATGTGTGAACAGAGACTTTTTAAAGGCTTATAACTTGTCCATATTTGAGCCTTCCCCTTCTCCCCTCAGAAACAGCAACAGGTCCACCCATAACACCAGGGCAATCCCCTTGCCAAATTTCAAAGCATGGAGGCACTACAGCTTCTCAACAAAATAGAAAGATTTTTATTAATGTGGGCAAAATAAGTCTTCCCTAATCTTGTTCTCAGAAACAGCTGAACCATTTTTTACTGAAATTATTTCAGCCCAATTAATTGACATTTGGCAATTTGAAAGCAGGGGTGGGGGGGATGATGTGTCAGTCACCCATAATTATAGATGGTTCTACCAGCTACACCTATAATATAACTGGACAAGAACTCAAATAACTGAATTGATACATGAGCCAACATATAATCCAACTTATTTATCCACAGCTGTACAGACTCAAAAATGCTCAGAGAAGTAAATTGTAGTCTATTTGTCACTAATTCAGCAAATATGATTAAAGGACCAAGGCAGCAGAACTGTTAAGTATGAAGATACCACTGTAACAGTCGGTTTTCTGACCATAAGCATAACTTTAATATGTTATGTGTAACAATCTGTATACAGTTGAACTGTTGCAAACATGTGAACAGATGTACTATAAAAACATTAAGAAATGATACTTTTTTTTAACAAGACAAGCCGAGAATCAAAGTGTATACAAAGCTGTGTGCATCAACTTCATTTCTGAACATTGAAGTATCTCTCCCAGCGTGAGAATTTCAAATTCGAAGTATTTCTAATTTGTCTATCATTGTTATATTAAGGACTGGAGTGTGGCCTGCTAAATTTTCAGGCTTTAAGTGAATGAGAAATATGAAATCTTGGACAACTGACTTGATAAGTCTCACTGTGGTCTTTTGTGGTCATGGACAGTTGGGCTCCGTGTTTCTATTTAGAACGGTTATTTGACCAGTTTTGAAAACAGAAAGTATGTCCAAGTGATGGGAACTCTATTACTCCCTATAGGAAACCTACTTGAAGACAGCTGGTAACTAACAAACACGGTACATTGCTGTCAAACGCTCCATATAGCCCATAGAGACAGTTCAACCAGTTGTCACAGCAGCTCAGCCTAACATTAAGAAAGACACTGAAGGGCAGGAGGCTGCAAAGTGCCTGTAAGTTCACTCTGTCTCCACACCCAGATCTACCACAAGTCAGGCAGAATCCAGCCGGACCAGGGGTGCTGGGCTGGGTTGCCAGAGTACTCTGCTCAGTCTCCCCAGCGCCTGCTGACCCGAACTCCTGTCCCTGCAAGAGTTTAGCGGATGGGGAGGGGCTACTGACAACTCACCTGTTGAATCACAAGGCCCCCGGCCCTCAGATACTGGCTTTGTACCTGTACCTCGCAGGAAGGTACAAGATCTGACCCTGATGAGTGGCGGCGGGGGGGGGGGGGTGGGCGCATTTCCTGAACCAGTCTAACAAATAGATTCCTGACAGGGCTGGGCACGAAGCCGCCTCTGCCCGGGCAGCCTCCCGCCTCACAGACCTGATCGCTCCAGGAGCGTCCCCGCACGGACCCGCTGTTCTCAGGCCCAACCCCGCCATTTCCCCCTGCCTGAGCAGCAGAAACGGAGACCTCCCCCGCCAAGGGCGCGGCCGCTCCCGAGTCCAGCCTCCCGCCCGCCCGGCCCGCTCAGTCACTCACAGCGGCGCCGCTGTCCGGTGCGGGCGGCTCGCCCTCCCCGCGGGGCTGCCCCGTGTCCGCCGCTTTGAGTCTCTGGCGGCGGCAGCGGGCGGGGCCCGGACCGGGGCCCGCGCGCGGCTCTTCTCCCCCGTGACGAAGGCGGCGGCGGCGCCCCCGCTCTGTGAGGTAATTCAGTGGGTCCCCCATTGAAGCCGCCTGCCCGTGACCAGTGACCACCCGCCCGCGGCACAACGAGATGGCCGGGCCCCGGGCAAGACAGACACCCCGCAAGGGCTGCTGGGACCGGAAACGACTCGTTCGGAACTCCACGACTTACAGCGCCGCCCCCGACGCAGCCTCCGAGCGCGCGGAACGCCGGCCACGTGACCGCGCCTGGACGCCATCTTGACTCCGGGCGGCCTCGCCCTGAGACACTTCGCTACCCGCCGATACAGCTCGCTTTGCGCAGGGTAGGCGCTTCCAGGCCCAACCAAAGATGGTGGCTCGGAGCGCGCGCCCGTCTAGCTCTGTCTCCATGGTGATCTCCCCTTGCCCTGCCCCCCGCCCGCGCCGCCGCGCGCAGCCCGCACCATGGCGCCGCTGAGCCGCCGCGCCCGGGACTGGCTTTACTCGCTGGTAGGTGCCCGAGCCGCCCCCGGCCCAGCGCACGGAGCCGCCTGGTCCGTTCTGTTAGGGGAGTGCAGCAAAGCCTCCGCTCTCGGGTCCCTGCGGTCCCTAGCCGCTGGCTGGGGCAACGGGCCGCAGCCCTGCGTGGGCAGCAGGTACCGCACGGATGGTTCTTCCCTTCCACCTGCCCTTGGGGACCCGCCTCCTACGGGACAACCCAGGGGCGCAGTTACCCTCCGCACCGTACATTTCACCTACTTCCATCAAGCCTTCGGTTCCAGGGCCTAGGAGGGGCGAGGAAGCCAGAGATCCTGCCTTCCTTTGAAGCACTGAATGCCCTGGCTCAGAGCCAGAAAATACCATGCTAACGCGGGCAGGTACTATACCAATCCTGTCCCCACTATTACCCTATCTAATCAGTATTTCATTAGTGTGTGGGTTGGACATCTAAACTTTTAGGCGAGGGGTGGTAAATGATGACCATTTGCAAATAGTTTAAATATGAGACCAATATTCAATAGAGGTATAGTATATTGGTAAAAAGAACAGGAGTACTCCTGTTCTTTTTTCGGATACAGACTAACATGGCTGCTACTCTGAAATTTGTATTGGTAATGCAAAATACCTACCTTTGCAAACATATTTTCTTCTAACAGATTCTTCTCACCATTGTATTACTTTCATGGGGATATGTTATTTATGCAACAAGAATAGCAGCTCGGTGGCAACTTGAGAAGGACTACCCTGATCAAATGCTGAATTTTTAAAGGAAACATTACAGATGGACGGCATCTGGATTTTCACACCTGAACACATTTAAAACCAAATTTGAGGACAGAAAAGATTATTTCCAACTAATGGTTTGAGAAGTTATGACCTGACCACATAATTTAAGTTTAACAGTGGTAGAAGGCTTCAAGAAAAAAAAAATCAAGCTTCCTGCACAATTAAAGGATCAACAGAAATACAGGCAATGCATGTTGTGTGACACTGAGTTTTCTTAATAAATATAGAAAATGAGCACCAGACTAAGTAGCAGCCAAGGAAGAAATGTACACCAAGTGTATGTTCAGTTGGTTTGCAGAATGTCTTCTCTTTTACAGACTTAATGTCTTTGCTAAAGAGTTTGTAATGTTTAAAATATGGTACACATGTTTAAGTCCAGTGATATGGCAGTAAGTAACATTATTTAAAAGTGATTCAACATTTTCCTTCAGTTCACGTTAATAGTATTTGGCCCTCAAATAGTCTTATTCAGCAACAGCTTATCCATAGCAACTCTTTCCTCTTAAAATCGATTATGCTAAAGTTTTTCATTGATGGAGTAAGCAAGTGTAACTGCAGCAGCCTCAACCAAGTTGTGTTTAGAGGTCTGCAGATGTGTCTGGCATCTTGGCTATGCCTAGTAAAGTGCTAGTCACAGATGTTATAGTGACATAACTCACACTATCTTCTAGTGATATGGTATGCTGACCTTCAGGAATAGTCAGGTCGAGGTTGGCTGAGGAATTTTGGAATACTGCTAGTCAATGAAGTGGATCAAGTATTTGAAATAGGGTTATTTCCTGAAAGGAACAAGTATTCATAGAAATGTGAGTACGAATAACTATTTGTCACCGTTTGTTTCTATTTACTCATCTTATTTTGCTGTTGATTCATACAATTAAAGCTATCATGTTTTACCAAACCCTCTCATACAGATGATTTTGAAAAAAAGAATTGTAAGATTTTGTAGTTTATAAACTTTACAATATTGCTTGAGTGTTCAGAGTTCTGGTAGGACTTCCACAATAAATGAAACAGAGGCTATGTAAACTAATATCTTATTAAAATTATTTCTCAATAATATCTGACTTAAGAGTGGGACAGTTACTTTTCCAAAATGCTTTCTAAATTTTACTGCACTTGTGCATTACCTGCTGAGCTGATTTGTTTTTTTTTGCTGTATCTTCCTGTTTGGTTAAATTCAAATACATGACTAGAGATACATAATTGGTTGCTAAAATGCAGATAATCTGTTGCCTGTTAAGACAAGAAGATTTTATGTGAGTAACTTCCTTAACTTGCCTTGCACTAAAGAAAAGTCTGGAAATGGTCTCTGCTATTCCTGCTATACCTAGAAGGAAATAAGATAACATGAGAGTTTCCTGAAAGCAACTTTATTGTTTTACATATCTGGAAATATTTAACACTTTTTATAGGAACAAAGCTAGAGTTTATAACCTTCAGTGATGACCAGTAGGCTCTTCTTCCATTGGTGGGATTATTTCTCCTGTCTCTAGAATTTTGTCACCCTAATGAAATCAAAAAGCTTATGGTGAATATTTTGTCATGGGTCATACTACTGTCTAAAATATATAATATGCAAGTGCATAAAAGTACTATTATTTTTATGAGAGACAATATGGGTGAGGCAATATCTTTTAATTGAACCAACTTCTGTTGGCGAAACAAGCTTTCAAGGGAATATTATCCATTCTGAAGAAAATACTGATGCTTCTAAAGGTCTATATCACATTGTTTTCCTTAGTCAGCATTTAACATTTTTGTACCAAGTGCCCAAAGTACTGAATACAGTTATTTTAATTTTATTCCCTGTATCATTGCTGCCCTCACACACCCACCTCTCCCTTCCCATTTGTTTTCTTTATCCATGAGGCCGACATGTTACGAGAAAATATTAATTTTAATTAACTCACTGGGAATATGCAGTACTTCTTTTCAGTAACACCATATGGCCTTTTCTGCAATAAAAAACAGATTAGTCAGGATAAGCTTTTTGAAAGATGGCTGATTAGAAAAAGCTGTTTTCCATATTGCCAAACAGCTAAAGTGTTGAATACAATTAATATTAAGCAGCCCCAGCTTCTCTCCACTAGGTTACTCTTAGTTTAAAACCAGAAGTATACAGAATAAAAACACCTCAAACAGGACAAGTTTTCAAAATACTTTATAAATGAAAAGGCACTCCCAGGGTAAAGATCCACAGGCAATGGCCTAATAAGAGTGTTCACTGAATTGTGGCACAGTGATAATGTTATTACTTCTTCAGGAAAGCAGTGAGCTTTATTCTGTCAGTGACTAGTAAGGAAGCAGGAGTGAGCAAGACCAGGGTACAAGTCAGCTACAAACAAAACACAAATCAACCTCTTAATCATCAAGGCTTATGCAGTTTGAACTAACCTTGTCTGACCAAACATATAGACCAGTGTTTCCCAAACTTGGGACGCAGCTGTGACAAACTGGGACTGTTCTTACTGTGGTCTGTGAATGCTGACAGGGGACTGTGGCTAGGATAGTCTGCACTGGGGGATGGGAAACTGACCGAAGGGGAATACCTGAGCATGTAACATGAGAACCCAGGAAGGTTAGAAGCCAGGTGACACCTTTGCCCGGGAAACTGAACAAAGGCTGGGGGAGGGGTCGCTGAAGGGGGTTTTTTGCAGGAGCTGGCTGGTGATATGGCTGGGAGGCAGATGGGGCTCTGACC